TTTGTATGCTAATGAGACAACTTGCAGCTAGGGGCCCTAGGTAGTTTCAGGATAGGAGCCGGTCACCAGAAAGGTCACAGCAAGATAAGAGCGTTGGGACTTTCAGCCCCATACCCTACTCCAAGGAGAGGAAAGGGACTGAAGGCTAAATTGATCACCAGAGCCAGGCTCGGTGGCTCAGCCTGTAATCCCACGCTTTGGGAGGCTGAGGTGAGTGGATTGCCTGAGCCCATGGGTTTGAGACCCTCCTGGGCAACTTGGCAAGACCTCATCTCTACAATAAATAAAAAAATCAGCCGGGCATGGTAGTGCGTGCCTCTAATTCCGGTTACTCAGAAGGCTGAGGCGGAAGGATCGCCAGAGCCCAGCAGGTTGAGGCTGCGGTGGCCGGGAACGGCCACTGCACTCCAGTCTGAGAGACAGAGTGAGACTCCAACTCAAAAAAAAAAAAAATTGATCACCAGTAGCCAATGGTTTAATCAGTTATGACTATGTAAACCCCAGGACAGAGTTCAGAGAGCTTCCAGAGAGTCAAACACATGGAGGACGGTGCCCCATACCCCTTTCCACATGCCTTGCCCTACACATCTTTTTCATCTGTATCCTTTGAATATCTTTATAATAAATAGGTAAAGGTGTTTCCCTGAGTTCTGTGAATCACTCTAGCAAATTAATCAAATCCAAGGAGGGGGCCAAGAGATCCCTGATTTATAGCTGGTCAGTCAGAAGCACAAGCAAAACAATCTGGGGCTTGCAATTGGCATCGGAAGTGCAGTGCTGTCTTGTGGGACTGAGTCCTCAACCTGTGGACTCTGAAGCCATCTCCAGGTAGATGTTGTCAGAACTGAACTGAATTAGAGGACACGTAGTTGGCAAACTGATTGCTTCCTTGGTGTGTGGGGGGAAAAAACCCCGAACATTTGGCCACAGGGTATGGTAGCAAACACCTGTAATCCCAGCAACTCGGAACGCTAAGGCAGGAGAATCACTTGAGGCCAGGAGTTTGAGGCTGCAGTGAGCTATAATGGCACTACTGCACTTCAGCCTGAGTGACAGAGCAAGACCTCATCTCTTAAAATAATTTTTTAAAATACCAAACATTTGGTCACAGAAGTCTTCTGTGTTGATTGATTGTAGTGTAAGGGCAGAAGGAAAATTTTATTTTTTACCTTACATCATCCATTACAACATCCTCCCAATTCCTGATTGCTTATTTTAATTCAGTTTTTCATTGACTATATCTCGTTACAATTGTTCTTTTAGAAAAGGGCTCATGAGTGTCACACTCCATGAGTTTTTACATGCCTGAAAATGTTTCCCTATTGCTGGGTAAAAAATTATCAGCTTGGCCAGGCACAGTGGCTCACGCCTGTAATTCCAGCACTTTGGGAGGCCAAGGTAAGAGGATTGCTTGAGCCCAAGAGTTTGAGACCAGCTTGGGCAACATGGAGAGATCTCGTCTCTTTAAAGAAAAAAAAAAAAAGGCCAGGCTTGGTGGCTCAGCTTGTAATCCCAGCACTTTGGGAGGCTGAGGCAAGTGGATTGCCTGAGCCTGCAGGTTCAAGACCAGCCCGGGAACGTGGCATTTACTGTCCCTACAATAAATCAAAAATTAGGTGGGCGTGGTAGCACACACCTGTAGTTCCAGCTACTTGGAAGGCTAAGATGGAAGGATCACTGGAGCCCAGCAGGTGGATGCTGGGGTGGCAGTGAGTGCACCATTGTACTCCAACCTGGGCGACAGAGTGAGACTCCAACTTAAAAAAAAAAATCAGCTCACACTGTTTCTCCTTAGAACTTTATAGGCATTATCACATTCTGGTGTGGAGTGTAACTACAGAGAAGGGTAAAGTCAACCTGAAATTCTCTACTTCCTTTTTTGCCTAAATGCCCATTTGTTCATTTATTCCTGAAATTTAGTCACTTCACCAGGACCTGTGGTTTTGATTGTTCTTTGTCAGCTGTACCCTTCCAGTTGGCTTAAGTCTTTATTTCAGCAACATTTTCTTCTGTTATATGTTGGATTTTTGCTCTTTTCTCTTCTTTAGGAAGACTAATTATACGTATTTTATTATCTTTCTCTAGCTACTGGCTCTCTCTATAGTTGCATTTGTATCCATTTCATTTTGTATGATTTCTCCAGACCTCATTGTGACCTTATAGTGAATATTTTTGTTAATTTCATCTACAAATGCTTTTCATTTGCCTGTCCATATCTTACCTCAGCTTTGCCAAATTTCTTGTCACTTGTTTTTATTGTTTTATAATAATCTATATCTGTTTTAAACCTTTGTGTCTCTTTAGGCTTTAATTTTTCTCTCTCTCTATTATTAAGATGTGAGTACAAGTCAGGATTAGGTGCGTGAGTAGTCTACCTGTCGGTAAAGTTTGGGCCTCCAACTGGTCCTCAGTTCCCTGGTTTAGGATCAGGTACCCTTTATGATGCCACGTATCCTCTACCTTCCCTGCCTCCCCTGGCAATGTCCCGAGACTGCCAATCCCTCCATTGTAGCATTGTGGTAAATGTTCAGGACCCACTCATGAGTGAGAGCATGTGGTATTCAGTTCTTTGTTTCTGTGCTAGATCACCAAGTATGATGGACTCCAAATCTATCCAGTTTGCTGCGAAGTTTATGCTTTTACTATTAAGAGTGATTCTGTCTATAATTTTTTTGAGATAAGGAAGAACTCTACTGAATGCTTCCTATTAATTCCTTTGTATTCCTCGTGGAAATATTTCTAATCTGTTACTTATGTTTCCTTCTTTCCTTGAAAATATTTCTTTTTCTTTTTAAGCATATGCCCCACAAATTAGTCGTAACAATTACTACTCAACAGTTAATGAAGAAGACTCTCTATTAAAAAGTACTACAGGAAAAGACAGAGGAAACTGAACCCAGGCCCTTCAAAGCATTCATACAGATTTTCAGCCACAAACATCCTCTCATCAAATCTAGAGGTGTATCTCCCCTCAGCTTTTGATTTTTTAAGAGATCAATATGAAACAATAAGAGCCCTTCAGATCACAATTTTGTTGTTGTTGTTGTTGTTGGAGTCTCACTCTGTCGCCTAGGCTAGAGTGCAGTGGCACGCTCATGGCCACTGAGCCTCGACCTGCTGGGCTCAGGCAATCCTTCCACCTCAGTCTTCCATGTTGCTGGAACTATAGGTGTACGCCACCACACCTGGCTAATTTTTTTATTTGTTGTAGAGATGAGGTCTTGAAAAGTTGCCCAGAGGTCTTGAAAAGTTGTCCCTGGGCTCAGGCAATCCTCTCACCTCCACCTCCCAAACTGCTGGGATTATAGGCGTGAGCCACTATGCCAAGCAGATCACAAATTTTTTGTACTAAAACTTGACAACCTTTACTCTTCCATGTTTTTAAATTTATTTTGTTTTGTTTTGTTTGTTTGTTTTGAGTCAGGGTCTCACTGTGTTGCCCAGACTGGAGTGCAGTGGCACAATCACAGTTTACTGCAGCCTTCAACTCCTAGGCTCAAGTGACTCTCCCTCCCTGCTTCCCAAAGTGCTGGGATTACAGGCATGAGACACCGTGCCTGACTTACTCTATCATCTTTTAAATAATAATTTATCTCTGAATTTTGAAAAATATATATCAAACAGCCCCCCCCAAAGGCACTTTAAGGGAAAATTATGACAAAGCCAATTCTTTCCAATAACTGATTTGAATGATATTTCAATGAAATTCAGCTTGGATACAGAGGCTTGTTATAAGAACACATAACTTAATGGTAATTAAAGGGTAAAGGTTAATAATAGCAGTAGTAACAATAACAGCAGCTGACACTTAAATAATGCTTTTTTTATGCCAAGCATTGTTCTAAATGTTTTATATATCTCTCTCTATATATTTCTCATCCCAACTCTATGAGGTAAGTACTATTATTATCTTCATTTTATAGATGAGGAAACTGAGGCACTGAGAGATCCAGTGACTTTCCTAAGGTCACATTGTCATTAAGTGGTAGAGCCGGGATTCAAACCTAGGTAGTTTGCCCTGCAGTACTTGCTCTTAATCACTATGTTGTGCTGCCACTCATTCGTTGCAAGAAGATTAATGACTAGAGAGTTCATATCAGCAGGACCAAAGTGAAAGGACTCTCTCAAGGAGCTCAAAATGTGTTTTTGTGACTGGGCAAGATCAGGAATTTGCTAATATGGACACCTATAAGCAATAAGTACATCTGTTTTTCCACTGCAGATTTTATAAAACTGCCACACAAAAAAGCAATTCTACCAAAATACCAGAAAAAAAAATGCCAGGTCTGAGAAAGAGAATTGATTTCTATTGAAATGACAGCTAAACATTTTTATTCTGAGGCATAGTACAGATTTGCTTAACTGTCTTAGTATATTGGGAGGAATGAGTGGTGTGCCAGTTATTGATTTATTGCCTCTCAACTCCAAATTCATTCATCTTTGTTTGCATGTATTATAGAGCTGGGCCCTGTAAACCTTCTTTGCTAGCTGGCACAAGATGTAGACTTTGTCAATAGAGGATGCTAGAGGGACAATGCATGGCCATAGGAAGAGAAAGGGATTTCTCTTCCTTGACCAGTGTGGTGTTCTATTTTTATTTATTTTTATTTCAGTCACTTATTTATTGATTTAGTTGCTAGTATATTAATTGTGGGAGGTCTAGTGGCACTTATCCTAGTGGGCTGCTTCCTGTGAACCAGTTCTGGCCCAGCCACACCATCCAGCGAGTTCCTCCCCAAACCAACAGGCCACTTCCTATGGACCAGCTCCAGACTGCACCCTGGCAAGTTTCTTCTCCACCAATAAAGTGTGTGGTAGCACAAGTTCTTGTGGTAGCCACAGTCTCTCCAATAAAGTCTGAATCTCAGGAAGTTCTTAGCTCTTCTAAGTTCTCTGTTCCTCCCTCTTAGGCTTCCAAGTAGAGTGAAGAGGTGATATTTGTATTTTAGGAATTATAGAATGATGTACTTATCATTTCAGATTCTGAGACCAGGAATGAGATGAAGGAATGGACGTCATAGATGGAAATTTCTTAAGAAAAAGATTCAGCAAGGGCTGCATCAGAAAGACTGCAAAGACAGATCTCCCAGGAATGTGAGTTAGTTGAAACCAGTGATCCTAAGGACAAAGTATTGAGGCACTGGGCAAGTCCCTTAAAGGATGCAGTGAAACATCTCTCTTCCCAAGTGAGAGGTATCAGGGAAATGAGTCTTATCCCCAAGAAAGCCATTGCAGGAGAGAAAGACCATGGATGTAATGAAGGAGAAAAAATACTTTCTGCTGGAGAAAGATCACATAGATATGAGGTCTGTGGCCAATGCTTCAAGCAGAAGTCAGGATTAACTGAACATAAGCAAATTGATAATATAAAGAAGATTTATGAATGTACGGAATGTGAAAAAACCTTCAACAGGAGCTCAAACCTGATGTTACATCAGAGAATTCACACAGGAAAGAAACCATATGTATGTAATGAATGTGGAAAAGACTTTAATCAAAGTTCAAATCTTATTATACATCAGAGAATTCATACAGGAAAGAAGCCTTATATATGTCATGAATGTGGAAAAGACTTCAATCAGAGCTCTAATCTGGTTAGACAAGTGAATTCATAGTGATGAGAATCCCTATCAGTGTAAAGATTGTGGGAAGGCCTTTAAGGGAAGCTCAAACCTTGTCCTACACCAGAGAATCCACAGTGAAGGGAAGCCATACTTATGCAATAAATGTGGAAAGACCTTTAATCAAAGCTCAGATCTTATTATACATCACAGAATTCACACTGGAGAGAAACCCTATGAGTGTTATGACTGTGGACAAATGTTCAGTCAAAGTTCACACCTTGTCACACATCAGAGAATTCATACGGGAGAGAAACCCTTCAAGTATAGTGAATGTGAAAAGGCCTTCAGGCAGCGTTCTTGCCTTACTGAACACCTGAGACTCCACAGTGGAGAGAAACCCTATGAATGTCACGAATGTGGGAAATCCTTTAGTGGGCGCACAGCTTTTCTTAAACATCAGAGACTACATACTGAAAAGAAACTTAAATTTGAAAAAGCATACACTTCTGACTTGAACTTTATCAAACAGAAAATTCATAGAGAAGAAAAACCTTACGAATGTACTGGGTGTGGAAAAGCTTTCCGGGGAAGTTCAGATCTAATTAGGCATTGGATAATTCATACTGGAGAGAAACCCTATGAATGTAGTGAATGTGGGAAAGCATTTAGTCAGAAGTCGCACCTTGTTTCACATCAGAAAATTCATACCAGAGAGAAGCCCTACCAGTGCAATGAATGTGGGAAAGCCTTCAGGCAGCGTTCCCTCCTTATTCAACATAGGAGAATACATAGTGGTGAGAAGCCCTATGAATGTAACGAATGTGGGAAACTCTTCATTTGGCACACAGCTTTTCTCAAACATCAGAGACTGTGTACTGGAGATAAACTTGAATGTCAGAAAACCTTCAGCAAGGATCAGGAGCTTAGAGAAGAGCAGAGAATTCACCAAGAAGAGAAAGCTTATTGGTGTAATCGGTGTGGTAGAACTTTCCAAGGCAGCTCAGACTTCATCAGACATCAGGTAATTCATACAGGAGAGAAAACATATGAATGTAAAAACTGGGAAAACATTCCATCAGAGCTCAGACCTTCCAAGACATCATAGAATTCATAGTGGAGAAAAACCTTATGCATGCAATAAATGTGGGGAATCTTTTAGGGGCAGCTCAGATCTTATTAAACACCATCGTGTTCACACTGGAGAGAAACCATATGAATGCTGAATGTGGGAAGGGCTTTAGTCAGAACTCACACCTTATTAGTCATCAAAGGATTCACACCAGAGAGAGACACTTTGAGTGTAGCAACTGTGGGAAGGCCTTCAGTGGCCACATAGCTTTTCTTAAACACCAGAAACGTCACACTGGAAAGGAATGTAAAGAATGTGAGAGTCTTCAAACCAGACTCACTTTAATAGGCAACAGAAACCTTATGTATGTAGTAAAAGTAGGAAAAGCCTGATGGGGACCACGTCTTAAAGCACTACAGAGGATTTTTTTGGTTGGAAAATCCATTTGGAAGTAGGAAAACAGAAAAGCTCTACTGGGTGAAAAGCATATAAGTGTAATCAAGTGGAAAAACTAAAAGCTCTTGGATATAATCGCCTTTTTTTCTGCCTCAGAGTTCACACTGGAGTATGTGGTCCCAAGGATATAAAAACTTGAGAATGTTTTAGGGGATTTCTACCATTATTAAAAATCATTAGAACTCACATTGGTAGCAACCCAAAATAACTATTATTATTACTATTATTATTTTAGTTGGCGTTTCACTCTGTTGCCCAGGGTAGAGTGTTGTGATACATTCACGGCCACTCCAGCATCGACCTACTGGGCTCTGGCGATCCTTCTGCCTCAGCCTGCCAAGTAGCTGGAACTACAGGCGCACACTACCATGCCCAGCTAACTTTTTATTAATTTATTTATTGTAGAAACAAGATCTCACCAAGTTGCCCTGGCTGGTTTTGAATTCACGCCACAGGCTCAGGCAATCCACTCGCCTCAGCCTCCCATAGTACTAGGATTATAGGCTGAACCACTGAGCCTGGTCAACAATTTTTTTTTTAATAGAGACAGGGTCTAGCTCTGTCACTCAAGTTGGAGTGCAGTGTGGCATGATCACAGCTTACTGCAACCTTGAATTCCTGGGCTGAATCAGTCCCCCCACCTCAGCCTTCCAAGTAGCTGCAAGGACTATAGGCACGTACCACCACGTCTGGCTAATTAAAACAAACAAACAAATTGTAGAGATGGGGGTCTCACTATGTTGCCCAAGGTCATCCCATACTCCTGGCCTCAAGTGATCCTCCCACCTTGGCCTACCAAGTGTGGTAGGCTTGAGCCATGGTGCCTGGCCACCCAAAGTTAACCAAAGCTAAATTTTTAATGGGTGGAGTCATCTCTCTCTCTCTTATTTATTTATTTATTTATTTATTTATTGGAGTCAGAATCTCACTCTTTTGCCATGGCACAATTACGACTATCACAGCCTCAATCTACTGGGCTCAGGTGATCCTTCCACCTCAGCCTTGCAAGTAGCTGGGATTACAGGTGCATGCCACCATGCCCATCTAACTTTTTTATTTTTATTTATTATAGAGACGAGTTCTCACCATGTTGCCCAGGCTAGTTTTGAACTCCTGGGCTCAGGCAATCCTCTTGTCTCAGCCTCCCAAAGTACTGAGATTATAGGTGTGAGCCACTGTGCCCAGCCAGAATCAACCATTTCAATCTTGACTTCCTAGTCCAGGGACAAGTATAAATATGTTTTAAATACTTTAGGGAGATTAGATCTTCCTCTGGGATAAATTCTTCCCCTTGAGTATGTATATTGTACATATTCCCTTTTTTCTTCCTTACAAAAAGGTGCTCCTACATATGTGATAATGCTAACTATAATGATCCACTAATAGAGAGGAAACAAAAAATAAGAGAAATGACTTGATTACAGGATAGCTGAAGGCAAGGATATAAGAGCCAAATGAGGTGTTCCCTAGAGAAAGAGTGGTATCCACAAGTGGGATCAGAAAATGCAAGAGACATGAGAACAGTACGTGTTGGGAACAAAATTTGACTGAATGCCAAAGAAGAGCATTTAGGCAACATGAATTGCTGGGAATTAGAAGAAAGCCTCTATGTTGAAAGGTCAGGTGATTAGGGAGAACATTTTTATCTTGATCCAAGACAGCTTATTTGAGAATTAGAGAGTCTAAATAGAACTGCAGAGAGAAGCCAGTCATAATTTAATCCGGTAATTGATATTGGTAATTAGACCTTGCCTAACTGTACAGACCCTGCCTACCTTTGCAATCAGATTATCATCAAACATTTCTTGTACTCTAAACTACTAGCAGATTGTATGTTAATTTACAGGAGTCATCAGATAAGAATGTTACCAAATGGGACACTGTAAAACAAGGAAAATTTCAACCTCATTTATTTCCTTAGCGGAAGTACTTGTAAAATGTCTGATGATGTCAGTGTTTCTCAACTCAGGACCCCAGTGGGGCATTTGGCAATATCTAGAGACATCTGGTTTTCCTCAACTGGGAGAAGACTACTGACCTCTAATGACCAGGGATGTTGCTCAATATCTTACAGTACACAGGCCTCCACAGCAAAGAATTATCTGGTCCGAAGTGTCAATAGTGCCACAATTAAGAAACCATGTCCATGGATATTTAGAATGCCAGTTCTCTGGGGCCATTAAAGCAAGCATTTCAGTGTGACATGGGCAGTAGTGGTGCATCCTAAGGAGAATCCAGAGTCTGCTAGAAAACTAGCTTGATGACCTGCTTCAAAAGAGACAATGTGGCATAATGGAGGGAGCACAGACTTCAGAAGCAATCAAACATGGGTTTGAATGCCAGTTATAAGTGCCATATGTATTGGACCTGGAGCAAACTACTTATCCCCTCTGATCTTTATTTTCCTCATTAATAAAATGGTGATTAAAATAATCTACCTCACAGGCTAATTGTGAAGTTTAAGTGAGAAAACTGAAATTTGCTGTTGACACATCAAAGGGCAGCTGGAGCTTTAGCTATTTTTAAACAAAAATGAAGTGTTTACAAGCAAAATATAAAATGTATAAGAGAGTGGTGTCTTGTGGCTGGTGTCAACAATAGAATCTATTAAAGTTCAAAGCACTGGAGGCTATGGCTTCCCCAGAGGGGCATCCTGAACAGTAGTGGGTTGTCTTAAAGTGGAGAAGCCCATTCAGGTTATCCCTTAAAGCTGGCTGCTTGCGGGTGATGTGTGATGCAGGGGCTCCAGACACTTACCTACCCCCATCACCTGTCTCAGAAGTTTAGCTCTTTTTTAATCTCACATAAACTCATGATCTTTTTTTTTGAGTCAGGATGTCATTCTGTTGCCCAGACGAGTGCAGCAGCATGATCATGGCTCACCACAGCCTCGATATCCTGGGTTCAGGCAATCCTTTTGCCTCAGCTTCCCGAATAGCTGGGGTTACAGGTGCATGCCACCATACCTGGCTAATTTGAGGATTTTTTTATTTGTAGATATGACATCTCGCTATGTTGCCCAGGCTGGTCCTGAACTACTGTGCTCAAGCAATCCTCTTGCCTTGGCCTCCCAAAGTGTTGGGATTATAGGTGTGAGCCACTGCACCTAAACCAAACTCTAATCTTTTAAAGTGAGAATATCTTTACATATATTTGGAGAGCAAAAGGAATTCAAAATTGTTACCATCAGTGATAATTTGAATAAAAAATTAAAGATATTTTAGTTATCTCAGATTCTAACTAATCAAAACTTTTAGCTATCTAGAACATGTTGCCATTTTAATTTTATAAGAGAAAGGAATTGGAAAGAGTTTATTCAAAAAGCCTATCTCTAGTTCCTTTACCTGTCTTTACAGTGCTGTACAGTGAAAGTTGATGTTTATATGAGTAAGCAGGAGGATATTTAAAGGGACTTGAAAGGAATTTAATGAAATGGTTTCCAACATTTTAAGCACCAAGGCCACTTTTTTAACTTCCTTGTGTCCTGCGTTTTAAAAGATTGTTTACCAAACTGCATTTATTTTAAAATAATGTTTTTGGGAGTTTTTTGCTACTAGAAGCCCATATAACTATCAATCATGCTTCTGACTGGTGTGAAGTAACCAGATCTAGGTACAAAAATTCCAGCCTAAAGCAAATGACATTTTCATTAGTCTTTTTATTCCTTTTGTGGGCAAATATATAATTTGCCTTGGGCTTTTTGAAATATTAACTAATACTTGAAAACCCCAGATTGAAAAGTAACCATTCATCCCTGATGGAGCTTGAATCAAACTGAGGGTACTGGACTTTTGAAAGTAGGGGGACGGTGGCTCAGCCTGTAATCCCAGCACTTTGGGAGGCCGAGGTGAGTGGATTGCCTGAGCCCGCGGGTTTGAGACCCGCCTGGGCAGCGAGACCTCATCTCTACAATAAATTTAAAAATCAGCCGGGCGTGGTAGCGCGCGCCTGTAATTCCGGTTACTCGGAAGGCTGAGGCGTAAGGATCGCCGGAGCCCAGCAGGTCGAGGCTGCGGTGGCCACTGCACTCCAGTCTGGGCGACTGAGTGAGACTCCAACTCAAAAAAAAAGAAAGTAGGGGGAAATTTTTGTTACAGTATGGAAATGTTTTCAACTGTGAATGTTGAAATAAAAGTTATTCAAGAAATGCTTCATATGTGCCCGGGGCCATAGTTAGATGGGGTTAAAGAAAGACATGCATTGTTCTTCAAGGAATTTACAGTCCAGTGAGGACTGAGGGAGAACAAAAGAGTTAATCTTCAGATAAGCAGATAATTTATGCTTATTCAATGAATGAATGCCCATTTAAAGATTTTATAGTTAGATGTTAATGTAGCAGGGTCCAATTTGTAAACTTGAATTCTGCAGAATAAAGTCTGTTAGCCCACTTTGGAACTTTGAAAACAGAACCTAAATATAGGTAAAACTTTGCTTTCATGAGACTTTAAACAGCTAAAGAACCAAATTCCAAGAGGATCAAAACTGGGAGAAAATCAGAGTGATAATCTTTGAGGAACAGAGGTAACTGAAATGGGTTAGGAGAGGTTTCTTCATGTAAGTATTTGATAGGAAACAAGACTAACTACCTTGGGGGAGGGAAGTGAATGTTAGCCAATAATCTGCCAATGTAATCCATTACTTTTCTTGATTTTTTTTTTCTTTCTTTGAGTCGGGGTCTCTCTGTTGTCCAAGCTGGAGTGCAGTGGCACAATCACAGCTCACCACAGCCTCAACCTCCTGGGCTCAGATGATTCTTCTGCCTCAGCCTACTGAGTAGCTGGGACTACAGTCACACCTGGCTTTTTTTTTTTTTTTTTGGATACAGTTGGGGTCTTTCTGTACTGCCCAAATGAGTCTCAAACTCCTGGGCTCAAGCAATTCTCCTGCCTCAGCTTCCCAAAGTGTTGGGATTATAAGTGAGACACCACTCCTGGCCACTTTTCTTGACTTTTGATGCCCTTAGAGTGAGGCCACCATCATCTCATTTGTACTGTTACCACAGCCCCCTTCTCTATGGGGAAGCCTGAATGATCTTCCTTTAGGACAAATCTAAGAGTGCCACCCCCCCTCTAAGCTTCCACAGTAGTTTCCCACTAACCTCAGCTTAAAGTTAAAAATCCTTAACGTGGCGGATGTATTCTGATCTGGCAGCATTTATCCACTTATTCTGTAAATATTTACTGAGCTTTGAGTATGTATCAG